TCTCCAAGGACCCGTGCTCACTGGTGCCTCCATGCTTCCGTCCAGGCTATGCCCCCTACCTGGTTTGCCCTACTCATCTTTAAAGATAAACCTTAGGCTAAGTGAGTTATCTCTCCTAAGCACTCCCAGAGCACACTGCACTTCTAGACTGTGGCACCTAACGCACTCACCTGTCATCAATTATTATTTTTCTCTCTCCTCCCCTAATCTGTAAGCTTCCTTAGAGAGAGACCACATCTATCTTGCTAATTACTGTATCAGTTGATAAATATTTGACTGACTAAATACAATAATAATAATAATAGTGGCAGCTAACATTTATTCAGTACTTCCTATGTGCCTGGCACCGTTCTAAGTACTTTACACATGTTAACTCATGTAATCCTCGCACTAATCCTAAATATCATTATTATCTCCACTTTACAAATAAGGAAATTGTGACTCAGAGACATTAAATAACATGCCCGAGGTTATATAGTCATAATATGACAGAGTCAGAACCTGAAGCCAGGAATCCAGAGCCTAGGTTCTTCAGCCCTCCTCCATACCGCCTCTCCATTTACGGTTCAGTTCAAATGGCACCTTCTGTGGAAACCATCTCTTACCATCCAATCTGAGTTAGATGTTTCTCTTCTGCATCCCATGATACCATATATAACACCTGCGTCATAGTATTGATCACGCTGCACTTGATGACTTGGTGTCTATTCCCATTATTCCATGAGATCCTGGAGGGCAGGGACTTTGACTCTGTCTTGATTTCCTTTGTATCCCCAGGGCCCAACACATGGTAAATACTCAAATTTTTATGGATGGATGAATAAATGGATGACTGGGATAACCTGAGCTGGAGCCTAAGCATTCATTTCCAGATTCTCCAGCAGGTGGCAGAAGAAGACAAAAGCTGAACAAAGGACCAGCGGCCTTACCTTTCACACTTGTCACTTTCTTCATGATGGCTTCCTGCTGTTGGTACAGAGTCACCGTCACGGTGGCCCCCGATGTGCCATAGCCCCAAATCACTGCCCCGGCAGGCTCCTTCTGCAGCACCATGTAATTATTGATGTATGAGGCGAAGCGAAAACCAACATCTAAAAAATGTAACAAACACTTAGAAGAGCATCATTGGGACATTCATCACCAGTTGAAGCTGCTTAAACAGCAAGGAACATAAAGTCTTTATACAGGGCAATTTGAATATATCCAGTCCTTTTCATCTTCTAAAACTAGATCTTATTCCTTCTAATTAGGTGAGTGACCTAACAAGAACAGTTGCCAAAGATATGCAGCATAGTACACGGTGACCAATAAAAGGAAAACTCAAAGAGCCTAGGGCAACCAATGTGCCACCAGCCTCCTCCCCCTCAGAGCTCTTGACCTGCCTTTGCCCTTGGGCTTGGCCCTGATGCTTCACTCTCTCCCCCCCCAATTGCTAACACGCTCCTCTTATACACCCCACAGATGGTATTTATGAGAAAAATAAACCACTTCCTTCCCCTACTTTCCATTACCACGCCCACTCCTTGTTGCTGGGAATAAAGAAACCTGCCACTCTCCAACACAGCCTTCCCTATCTTTCCCCCCAATCTTTATCTCCCCTTTTGCATCCTACCAGTGTCGATTTCCCACAAATAATTCCCCTTACTGTGGTTTTTTTTTTTGACAACCCACTGAAAATTCTAAATAAGCATTTATGAATATCTGCAATGTCTCCTTCCTTCTAAGGTAAATACAGATAAATAAGATGAAATAATAAGGTCAGTGAGAAATAGAAGGTCAAAATGTCAGAACGAAGGTCTTCCATCTCAATTTTACCCATTTCACAAGCTAAATTATATAAAAAGCACAAGAAGGAGAGCACTTGAAACTGTAGATTCTATTCTAGAGTCACTAACAAGACTGAATAAGAACTCACTTTAACGAGATCATTCCTATTTTTAACATGCAGCCTATATTGAAGTATTTTATTAATAACAAGCATCTATCCAAATTATCCCAGTGAGTTCCTCATCAAAACTTAACAAGGGGGAAAAAAAAAAACTTCTTAAGTTATGTCCCAATTTGTCTGAACAAAACAGACTAAAATCCCTAGAAGAAAATAATTAACAAAGTTAAGATTTTTTTTTAAGGGCTTTAAACAAAAATGATAGGCAGGAAAGAGAATGAGAACTAACAAGGTTGACATTTTCCTCCCTGGAAGCTACCAATAAGGATGGCCCCTTAGGCTAGCTTAGCAGGGCAGTAGAGTTAATGGGGTCTCCTACACAGATCTGGTAGCCTATTTGTCCTGTGCTGTGAATAACAGCCCAGTCGCTCAACATCCTCTCTCCCTCTCTCATGAGTTTTAGTTCCATCAAAAAACCGACATGACAACCAAAGATCATCCAGAAGGCTGTATAATGGGCTGGAGATGCACAGCTACCACAAGCAAAATGCTCTAAGAAGAGACTCTAACATCGCACAATTGCATAAGCAGGTTGGCAGCATGCTGGAGGGAAGGGGAGAGGCACATGTGTGGGAGGGCCTAGTCTTGGGTAGGTACTTCATATGGAACAAAAACTGGAAACTAAAGGGCTAAGAGCTAAGCAGAGAGACGGGAGTGGGGTGGGTACAGAGTGAAGGAAACTGGCTGTCTGCTCCCACATGAGCCTGTGCAAATAAAGGGCGCTCTGAGTGCAGCCATTGTCTTCCAGGCTGGGGACACATCTTTCCAAGTCCATCTGTTTTCGCCGACACACACTTACTGGACCTCCTTGTGCCTGGCTCTATTCTGCGTTAAAGAATTTTAAAGGTAGAGAGAATCTTTCACACCCCTACGTACAATCATGATCAACAGACTAACACCCGGCTAGCTTAGGTAATTGAGGTTAATAGCTTGCATATTAATTAATTCGACAAATATTTATTGATGCCTACTGTGTGTCAGGCACCACTTTAAGCATTGAGGCTGTTAACAGTAAGAAAAAGAAAGAAAAGAAAAAAAAAAAAACATTCAAAAATCCCTGCTAGCAGCAGGGAGCTTACGTTTTACTGGGGAGCTTACTTGGGGCAGGCACAGTGTTAAGCATACGTCAACTCCTTTGACCGACCTGAAATCACATAGGTAGTTTATGACAGGACTAGAAACCAAGCCACCTGATTCCAAAGTTACTGCAATTTCCACTCTGCTGCAGTTAGATACTGGTGGTAAATTTAAAAAAAAAAAAAAGTCATATTCCCTGCCCTTATAAAGCTCACATTCCAAGCCAATAAGAGTAGACAGTGGAACATTACCAAGGAATTGAGCAATGGACAAAATAGGAGAATAGGAAAGGAGGCAGGACTGCTCATTCTTTTTGTCAAACACAAGACACTTAGCATTTGAATTTTTTTTTTTTTTTTTAGGTCTTTAATTTTTCCTCCATTTGGGTGTTGGAGTGGAAAACAGGAATTAGCGTTCTGGGGAAGTTAAAAGTAGTCATTAAAAGTAGACTGACAAAATTAGGACAGTGGTTAAGTTACTTCTGGTGACGACCTGGTGGATGCACTGGAGAGAAACATCCAGAAAGTCTCAATAAAATGCAATGTTCTAGTTCTTAAGTTGGGTGCAGCACCCTTGGGTATTCATTTTCTTGTTTCATTGCTCCTGTATTTTTATACATTTCAAATATTACACAGTCAACATGGGCACAGGCGGGACGACTGGAAAGAAAGATGCCAAGATATGCAACCAAACAAGAAGGAAAGAAAATTTAAAGCATTAATGAAAAACAGTCATTGTTAATGCAAGTAATGTAATGGGAAGACCCAAAAGTGAAGACAGAACACTGTACTGGCATTAAAGTTAACAGCCTTTAACAGAAAAATTAATAAAAGAATGGCCCTACTCTCCTCTCATATGCTGGACTCAAAAGTCACTGAGTGGGGATGAGAGTCAAAGTGCCATGCAGAGTGCTGCTGGTCTACACTTCTGTTAAAGCCTGAGACACTACTGATGGGCCACAGTTGGTCTCAGTCTGGGTACTTTTGGGTTCTCAGGTATAGCAACAGTCATTTTTCTGCACCCTGTCCCCATTCTCACTTCAACTTTCACTTCTTAGCAGGGATCTTTGGGGTCCACTATTTGAATGGTTTGAAGGAAACAGTAGGTGCAGCATTATCACTTTACTTGGCATTAGCGGGCAGATTCCACCTTCTGGTTCTCCATGGTTGTGGCTCAGTGTCCAGCCTGGAGTATTCAAAGGACAGGATCTGCCCTGGACAGTAGTCAAAGTGAGTCACCCTCCTCCCCAACGCCACGCCTATTATCCCCCCACCGATATCTGTAAGCTGCGCCAGAAATCAAAGCTAAGCCTTAAATACTCTGAGCTAGTGAGGGGGTTGTATTTCCTAATCCTAATCACCACTTAAACCAGTCAAATATAACTCCCCCAAGGAACCAAGCTTGAAGCAAACCCTCCCCAAGGGTACTGCTGAGGGGGCAGCAGGGAAATGCTGTGGATGACTCAATCACCTGTTTCCAAATACCATCTAACTAGCTTCACACACACACACACCCCCCTTCGACTTCCCCTGCGACTATTCAAAGACCCCAAAGGCCTCGGTCTGGGACATTTGGGCCTCCGCACCCAGATACACCCCATCTCCCTCTGCGCCACACCGGGCATCAGGACGACGGTGCAAGGGCGTGGAGGAAGCGCACCGGCCGGAACTCCCGCCCGGCAGACCCCTGCGGCCTAGGCCCGCGTCAGGAGGCCGGCTCCGCGGTCGCGGTTCGCGCGTCCGGCAGAGCACGCGGGATCTCGGAGCCCGCGCAGGCTGACCGGCAGGGCCTGGGCCGAGCCGGGCCGCCTCACCTGCGCTTGTGCCGGCCGGCAGGATTAAAGGCAGGACCAGCCCCAACACAAACCCCGGGACTACCATGTCGGCGAGGACCCGACACCCGGGCGCGGAACTCCGGGCGCGGACTCCAGGCGGGGCCGGGGCCGTGGGCGGGGCCTGCGCGGGGCGGGGAGGCCTGGCCCCACCCCTCCCAAGCCGTTCGGTCGCGAAGACGGTCCGTGGCCGCCGGGCGAGGCCGTGCCTCCCCCTTCCCGGCCGCCGTAGTCGAATTCAAAAAAAACAAAAACAAAAAACGGTTACCCGGCAACGGGAAATAACAACTGGAACCATCTGCACCAGCTCTGAGAGAACGAAGAGGTGAGGCGGTTTACCCCACTTCCTCTCCAAATCCGAGACCTCGCCTTTTTCCTTTGCCTCTCGCATTCTCTCAGGATCCCAGACACATTCCGGGATCGCGAGGGCAGATTGGGCGCCAAGGCAGCCCGTTCTGCGAGAGAGTCTGAAACCCCAGATCCTCGACGTCCCGCCGCCCGATAGACCGGTGCTCCCCCTCCAACCGCCCTCCACTCCCCTGACTGGTTCAGGGTGTTACCTGTCCTTCTCACAACCCTAGAATGACGCAATGCCTTATCTCCTGTTCCCTCAAAAACAGAAAATCATCCTCCACACATTGGGCCTCATTAAACCATCTAGTCCCTCACCTAGACCCCTCCCACGGCTTGTGGACTTGTCAAAAAATTGACACCTTCACAAAAAGGCCAGGTCCCTGAGTGTCGTTGCCACGCTCAGCAGCTCAACCCGCTGCTTGGCAGCTATCCTTAATCCAGTCCTTGTATTCCAAGACAGGAAGATAAGACCTGGTCAAGACAAAACCAGAAAACACAAGAATCCCCAAATCTTGGACGCTAGGACTGCAAACTCATGACCTTGCCTCCGCCCCCCTCTAACCCTGCTGCCCCTTTCAGAGTATGTAAGTGCTTCGGAGCTTTGTAGGTCGTGCTCCCGAAGTGGAAGCAAAGGGCAAGACTAAGTGTTAAACTTCTTCATTCAACAAACTAGAGTAATTTCTAGAACCAAGATTAGTTCTTAATTCAGTTTTTTTTTTTAATTTTAGACCCCAAACAGTGTCTTCTCAGCGATTTATGATGAATTTTTAACAATGCTTCTCTCTGAGTTCCTGTGGGATAGCAGAAATTACCCTCACCTTTTAAAGGCAAGAGGGACAGAGAGAAAAAGTACTTAGTGTTATAGTGAAAAATCTGTGGTTTTTGTAATTTAAAAAAATGACTTGGCCTAGTAAATGAGTCTGTATTTGTAAGATTCTAATTAATAATGGAGAGTTCAAAACTCGAAGAAATGATGGATTGGGGTTGTGTTCAGGGGAAAGAATTGAAGTCCAGAAAATTTGGGGCTCAGGAATAATTTGTTGTCATCATTGTGATTATATAAATAAAATCAGACAAATTTAAAGACTGTACTCTCTAATGCATCTCTAGGTACAACAGGCAGTTCCTTCCAAGGAGATGTCGATTCCATTCTCCAACACCCACTACCGAATTCCACAAGGATTTGGGAATCTTCTTGAAGGGCTGACACGCGAGATTCTGAGGGAGCAACCAGAAAATATACCAGCTTTTGCAGCAGCGTATTTTGAAAATCTTCTAGAGAAACGAGAGAGTAAGCTTTTTTTAAATAGGCATTTTTTTTTAAGTCAGAGACTAAGCATTTGGTTATGGTGAAACTGGCTTAAGACCATCCTCATTCCATAGAAAGCCTTTATGAGGCAGGTAGCTTCGAGTAACAGTTCTTGCTATTGAAAACATGTGCCTTTATGACAGGTTCTCTTAAATCACGTTATTTCACATTATTGAAGATTACCAGTTGATTACACAGACCTTCTTCATTGTATACTTCATGGACACGCTGGGTGGAAGGAAACCTCAAGAGATCATCCAGTCTAACTCTCCATTTTCCAACAGGCTGTTCCAGTGCATGCCAGGCAGTTGACTGTCTAGTCCTCCTGGGAGGAGAGTTTGTGGTTTTCTTTACATGGTGACTCTTCTTTCTTGAAAGTATTATAAGTGTTGTAAAAAATAATTCTATGCTCCTTAGATTAAATAGATTAGTATTTGCTGGGGTATGTGAAACTAGTCTGCAAAAAGTCACAGAGAAACACTGCTTTTAAAGTGAAATTCCAGGGGTGCCTGGGTGGCTCAGCCAGTTAAGCATCTGACTCTTGATTTTGGCTCAGGTCTTGGTCTTGGGGTCATGAACTCAAGCCCCACATTGGGCTCCACACCGGGTGTGGAGCCTACTTAAAAAATAAAAAATGAAATTCCAGCTTGAGAAGGTAATTTATATCTTTTCTCTATTCTCCCAAGGTCCCATCCTGCCCAGATTCATACTAACAGTGACTCTTTGGCTGAGAGCCAAAGCAGTTTCTTCACTTCCAGAAATAAAATGTCCAAATTCCCAGCCTTGAAGGTTCATAACTATCAAGACCTGATCCAGTAGTCAAAATGGGAATTATTACAGCTATACATTTCTATTTAAAAACCCCTTCTTGACTAGAACAACCATTTTGTATAAACTGTTTCCATCATTCCAACAAAGTGGTAAAGGTGACTAGAAGTAACTACAAGTAAGTAAGCATTTGATTTCAAATCATTTTCCAGAAGAAGGAAACCTCCCACAGGTTTGAAATGAAGCAACCCCCATACACACTGCACAGCTCCACCATCTTGTCTTCTTTGCTCAACCCTGGCAGAGCTCAGAATCTCTGCCAATTTCCTGAATGTTGCTGGTCTTTTCCATATCCAGTCAGTGTGAATATTTGTTGCACAATCTGAAACGTATGTGCCACTAAAAAGCTATTAAGAGAAATCTTTTAGGGTGAGAAGTGAATTATAATGAACATTAATTTAACTTTGTTATTATAACATTAATTTTACAAATTCATGAGTAAAAGGTCTTTAGTCATTTATTTAATTTTAGATCTCAGAACTGTCCCATTACACAAACATTTGAGTCATTGTTAGTGGATCATGATAATTAAAGAAATTGGTGATTCAGATTAATGGTCTCAGAATACTAGTCTCTAACGATTAAAAACTAGACAAAACTATTAAAAAAAATTGAAGCACCATACCCATTTCCACTCATGCAAACCAAAGGCGAATTGTCCAACTGATACAAGTAACAGAATGTAGTCTCTAAAAGGGAAGAAAAAAGTCCTCTAGCCCTGTCTCTCCCACAATGAAAGAACTCCCTGGCCAGCATTCTTCATAGGTAGTTATTAGTCCTAATTTTGATTTTTCTGACAGAAAACGTGTTAGCATTTGATTTAAGTAGTATCTGAAATCACTAGGGAAAAGGTAGACTTTTTATTAAATGATGTTGAGATAAAGATAGAAAAAGATAAAATTGGATCTTTTCCTTACATCATACACCAGGGTAAGTTCCAAACTGACTGAAGATTTAAATTATTTTTTTCATGAAACCATACAAATACTAGATGGAAACATGGGTGAATTTCTCTGTAATATAAAAGAGGAAAAAATTTTGCTAGCTAAGTAGCTATATTTACTTATTCAAAAGCAATTAGGGGAAAAGACTGATAAGATTGACTACGTAAAAGTAAACTTTTACATGACAAAATCACCATAAGAAAAATGAAACTACAAATGACAAACTGAGGAAAAATATTTGTAATTTATATCACAATGGGTTAATAAACATAATAACTAAAGGCTTGTAAAAATACTGAAGAAAAAACTAATAACCTTATAGAAAACAATGGTCAAGAGATACGAGCAAAACACACAAAAAATGCAAATGGCCCTTAACATATGAGAACATACTAAAATTAACCCATAACAACAGAAGCCCAAATCAAAACTACAGTGAGGATCACTACCCACCCCCACCCCCCATCAGACTGGCAAAAAGCCAAAAGTTTGCCAATTTATTCCAACAAGGCTAGAGAGGAAATAACAGTCATATACATTGCTGGAGGAGACACAAAATGATAATAACACCAAGGAAGAGAATTTGACATAGAAATTCAACTTCTACCCTTTTCATTTCCTCATTATTCGAGGAAACAATCCAAATATCCGTCATAGGGGATTTGTTGAATAAACTAGAGGACATCCACACAGTGGAATTATATACAACTGTAAAACAAACGAACAAAACCAGAATGAGGAAGATCTCTATATGTTGCTATGGAGTGATCTTCAGGATATATTGGGTGAAAAAAGTAAGGTAGAAAAAAAGTATGTTTAGGGGCGCCTGGGTGGCTCAGTGGGTTAAGCATCTATCTACCTTCAGCTCAGGTCATGATCACAGAGTCCCGGGATCAAGCCCTGCATCAGGCTCCCTGCTCAGTGGAGAGCCTGTTTCTCCCTCTGCCATTCACCCCACTCATGCGCGCCCTCCCGCGCTCTCTGTCTCTCTCTCTTGCTCACTCTCTCTTTCAAATAAATAAAATCTTTAACAAAAAGAAAAAGAAGTATGCTTAGTATGCTACCAATTATCTAACAAAGGGGTGTGAATACAAATATATAGGTATTCATTTATATTTTTAAATGGAAAAATAAGTCTTTTAAAAATTTACATTTACATCTGAAGGAGAAGTAACAGAGTGGAGGGAACAGGACAGAAGCTAGACTTCTCTGAATATATCTTGAATTCAAAATCATAAATGTTTAACATAGTTTAAAGTGGAAATAAATTGTAAAATTGTTAAGCAAACTCTAAAGTTTAGAAGCAAAGTGAAACAAACGTAGCTAGTATTGAATGGGTAGACATAACCACACAGAAAAGAATTATTTCAAGTGACTTTATAACACAGTAATTTGACTGTACATCCCTAGTGGATATAGCCTAAAGACAAAATGAAGTTAAAAAGTCTTGAATTGTTTTCAGTAATCATTGTTAATAATATCATAGTATAATTATAATTATAGTATAATTATAGTTTTTATACACTGTAGGACATAGCAAATAAGTCACTATCCTACTATTATTAGGAATAAGATTTTTAGCATAAGAAAAATGACAAACAGATATAAAAATTAAGGAAGTTAATAAAATCCTGTAATCCTAAATTTGAACAGAAAAATATCAGTGTGACCTCGATATATTTTCTCTTTAAAAATAAAAAAATAATGTTTTCTAACTCTATGCATATTTTAAAAGGCCACAAAGCAATGACCCAGTACCAGTGAGCACCTAGCCTCTAGACTGTGGCCTCTAGCTACCATTTCCCAGGAACCAAGACTTCTTCTTAGAGAACTACCTAATTCTGTGAATTGGTCAGGAAATATGCAAGTTAAGCCTGAACATCTTATCATACCAGAAAATAAGGAAACTATAAAAGATTACTAGAGCTGTTTCCAAAGGACTAAGGAGCATCTGAACACCTGAATGAGCTCCTAATGGCCAATTTTGGACAATTAGAGCATCGAGAAGAATAATAAATGTAATGGATTGAAGTTGATCCAATTTCTTAAATATTCATTTGTTCATAATGATCAAAACAAACAAACAAATAAAACCTCCTTAAGAGGATCCTAAGGAACCAACTGATTATTCTGTAAACTGGTCAATAAAGGGAAAGAATCAAACCTTTAACCTGCCTTTTCTGTACGAACTGTATGTCAGGGTAACCAATAGTTGATATGGGTAAGTTTTTCTTTACTGATTATTCCAGAAATAAAGAAGTACTGATCAAATAAGAACATTGCCATTTTGCAACCCCTAAAGAAGTGATCTAAGCAGTCATCATCAATGGGCCCTTAAAGATTATAAAAAGAGAGACAACCAGATATTATGTATATCCTGACAATTACACTGAACTTTCTATAAAGTATGCTTGCCAAATAAATAAATAAATCAATCAATCAATCAATCAATCAATCCTGAATCAGCTACAGGAAATTCAAAAGCAAAGGAACTTGTTAAAAGTCCTCACGGGAATGGAATCAGAAATATCTAAACTGTGGAAAACTCCAAAGGAAAAATGATCCAATTTCCTCAACAAAAACATTGCAAGGAAAAAATGTGGGCTGGGAGATAGGTGAAAATCTCTTTCAATTAAAAGAGATGGGAAAGGCTGTGTGTGCCCACTGTTTGGGTTTTGATTTGAACAAATCAACAGTAAAAAAAAATAAGCAAAGAATATATTAGACAATAGGGGAAATTTGGATAGCTGCTATTAAGGCATTATTGTTAGTATTTTTAGATGTGATAATGGTATTGTGGCTTTATATCTTAGAGATACACACTAAAATAACTATTTGTAGATAAAACAATAGGGTGCCTAGAACTGGCTTGAAAATAATCAGAAGAAAGTGTGGGTAATTGAGTGAAGCTACAGATAAAATAAGATAAATCATGAGTTTATAATTATTGAATCTGAGTAGTGTGCACATGAGAATTTGTTATATTATTCTCTCTACTTTCTAAGTTTGAAATTGTTTATAATGGAAAGTTAAAGAAAAATTCTGCTTAAATATAAATACTTCTGCCTGTCTATGTCTACTGACTACATAATATGCCTCATTTTTTAAAAACCTCTCCCATTCTTTACTTTTCCAAACTTCCTTGCTGTTTAGCATTTATACATTTTCCTGTGTTTACTGATACATGTTTATGAGTTTCTGTATTTATATTTAAGTATTGGCATTCGTTCTCTCTCTCTTTCCCATTTTATTATAAATTCTATGAAGGCAGCAATTATGTTTCTTTACTGCCTTTCTAAATATCCCCAAGGGCTCATCTAATGTTTAATTCATCATCATATATTCTGTGATCACTGCTTATGTTTACAGTGTTAGGCTATGTACATAATAAGATTTTCAGCTGGCAGTAAAGAACTTGTGGTTTGAAAAAGAAAACTTGTTTTGTGTTACTATTCTGGATTTACTTTAGTGGACTCAAAATAAGTCTGAAATTATTATATTTTTATTATTTAGAAACCAACTTTGACCCAGCAGAATGGGGGACTAAGGTAGATGACCGCTTCTATAACAACCATGCATTCAAGGTATGGTCCCATGAAACTTGTGGATTTGGTTATTTTCTTCTCCCTGTCTCCAAAACAGAGAATATTGCAATCTCCCCAGAATCATGAACATCATGAAAGGCATCACAAATATCTTATTAAACCTTTTTAATTATGCTGTTCTTTCTGACAAGAAATTTTTTTCTGAAGTATCTGAATCGTGGACAGATGCTTAGCTGAAATTGAAAGGTGATCAACAGGAAGAATGTACTTGAAAGTTACAGAATAACTACTCTCATTTATTCTTCAGATTGTATTGGGTATCACAATGTTTAGCAATAGCAGATCCTCAATAAATATTTGTTGAATTAATGAATGGCATTTCATAAAACACCATTTATCCAGTTGTTTCATCATCATTGACATCTTACAAAAGCCTGATTAGAATTTAAATTCATAATGGTAGAGTTTTTTCTACAAAGCTAATCTGTTCAGAGACTGACCCTACCTTCTCTTTAGCAGCATTCTTAGAATCAGCCTTTTTCAGCCAAGGTTCGTCAAAATAATTAAGCCCTAAGCCAAAGGTGCTCATTGCATGTAAGGAATCAGTGCCCCTCCTTTGTTCCTAGAATGACTCTAATTATGTACCATCCTTGAGAGAACTGAGAGAATAGTCACTCAAATCATTCTGTGTTCTGTGGTCCAGAAGAGGAACACTGGCTGAGAAAGGCTGTGTGCGACCCTGCATCATTGGCAGCCACTAACTGGGAACTTGATGGAAATTCTGTCTCAGGCCCTACTCCAGGTCTGCAAGTTGGAAGCTGAACTTTAAAAAGCTCCGCAAAGTAACTTGTAGGTACATTCAAGTCTGAGAAGCACTCTTCTAGACAACTGAGATAATACATTAGCCACAAAGTACCATCAGATATTAGAATTAAAAGGAATTAGCCAAGTTCAAGTTTTGATGGTGTTCCCCAGTAGATTTGGGGAATTTCCTGGGGAAATACCTGTCACTTATTCCATGAGTTCAAAAGTGAAGTTCCATCCATTTGTGCCTGCCAGATATGGGGGTGTTTAGTTTGTTTCCATCTAGTCTTTTAACAAGATTCTCTGTGTTCATGTTTTATTTCAATCAAAGGAATAATATCAAAAAGTTTTAAATCTTTGTGTCACATAGCAATTTCAGGGTGGTTTGTTGTTGTTTTGTTTTGTTTTTTAATCTCTTTTGAATTCTAAAGGCTTTACTTAATTAGCTTATATGTCTTCAAATTTCTGTTTTATGGATTAAAGAAACTCTTCCCATAGGTTGTGAATTAGCAATGCCTCCATTTTGGTGGAAGATTTCAATAACCATGTCAAAATAGGCAGAGCTGATTTCCCTTTTTTACTTAAATGGTTCCCCAAAGCAGAACTCACCTCTTTGACATGGTTTTTAATCTACAGACTTCTTTAAAAAGTCAACTTGACCTCACACTACGGGACACAGTGGCATGCATTTTGCTCTTATTTTAAAAACTAACAGCACTTCTTTTTTATACTTTGTTCAAGATTCATTACAGCATCTTAACAACTTTTAGTATAAGACAATAGCTTGTTTTGCATATGAGATAATGTTGCACACATTCCAAAAACAAAAAATCAAACATTTTTCACCGATTCCTTGGTTATATTTGTTTATGCATATTCCCTTGTGAGTTTTCATTTATTTCTCTTTTTTTTCCAACCTACTTCCCTTTTTTTAAAAAAAAATCAGTGGGTATTTAATTCCTACTACTTCTCAATAACATACAGCAATATTTAATGACTTGAAGCAGTTTGATCCAAGACTTTACTGTTTTGGAATATTGCCTGTTTGGCCCTGTCACCCCTCTTCCAGGATCATGAATCACCTGAGAATTGTGAGTCCGAAAAAGAAAAGTCTCACACACCTGTGAAAGAGGATGAGACACCAGTCACAGCCTTAGTAAGTTATGCTTTCCATATACTATTAGATTCCTACAAGAATCATATCACTCAATTTAAAATTATACTCCAAATATGAATCCAGTCTGTTATCCATATTGCTAAAATTATGATTTTGCTTTCTAGATAACTAGCATCATGATAAACTAACTGGTGGATCATTTTTAGCTATGCCTATCATAAAGGAAAACTCCTTCTTCCCCTTAAAAATAAAATCTTTTTTTCCAAGACTGTCAATGGGTGGGGAAATCTCCCCCATTTCCTTACATCTTTAGTAGTTGCCCTTACTCAGCTTTTCATGACTTTGAGTTGAGATCTCACTGATTTCCAACTTCATTATAATTCATTTGCCCATACTGGGGCATCATCTCAGAGGGTTTAATACCATTCTGTTTGCATTAAGAAGTTTGAAAGCTAGATTTGCCTCATTGTTTTTTTAATGGGGTGAGGGGTGTAAACAATCCAAAGGTCCATCAACAGGAGACTGAGTAGATAAATCAAGTCGTTAGTACAATGTAATACAATGGTGTCATAAAAGAAGAAGAATGGGCAGAGTTACATACTGAATAATAATAGAAAAGAGAACCAAGATACATAGTTACCAAGGAAAAAGTAGTTGGGAACATTATAATTAGTATGATCTCATTTTTAAAATAAAAAGCCATGTATATACCCATAAGAATACTTTTTATACAGAGAAATTTTGGAAAGTTATATATACTCAATCCATAATAATGGTTACATCTTAGGAGTAGATTTGGAAAGGGGGAGAAAACTTTCACTACGAGTAGCATTTAAGTTTTCATTTTTTTAATTTTTTTTTAAGATTTTATTTATTTATTTGACAGAGAGAGAGTACAAGCAGGGGGAGTGGCAGGGAGAGAGAGAAGCAGGTTCCTGCTGAGCAGAGAGCCCGACATGGGGCTGGATCCCAGGACCCTGGGATCATAACCTGAGCCGAAGGCAGATGCTTAATGGACTGAGCCACCCAGGCGCCCTGGCATTTAAGTTTTTAAATGTATATGTATCACGGTTATAATTTTAAATGATATATCAGAAACTATATATCGGTACATCTGGGTGGTTCAGTCAGTTAAGCATCTGCCTTTGGCTCAGGTCATGATCCCAGGGCCCTGGGATCGAGTCCTGCTTCGGGCTCCTTGCTCAGCGGGGAGTCTACTTCTCCCTCTGCCTGCCACTCCCCTTGCTTGTGCTCGCTTGCTCTTTGTCTCTGACAAGTAAATAAATGAAATCTTTAAAAATATATATATATATATATATATATGTACCGGGACACCTCGGTTAAGCGTCTGCCTTCAGCTCGGGTCATGATCCCAGGACCCTGGGATCGAGCCCCCCATCAGGCTCCCTGCTCAGTGGGGAACCTGCTTCTCCTCTTCCTCTGCCGCTCCCCCTGCTTGTGCTCTCTCTCTGACAAATAAATAAATAAAATCTTAAAAAAAAACCAAACTATCTATTGAGTTAGACACTTAAGATCTGTGTGTTTCATTGTCTGTAATTTAGATAAACTATACCTAAATTTTATTTTTTTGAAATATTTTTATTTATTTATTCATTTGAGAGAGAGGGCAGGGGGAAGAGCAGAGAGACAGAGATAAGCAGACTCCTTGGTGAGCATGAAACCCAATGCAGGGCTCGATCCCAGGACCCTGAGATCATGACCTGAACCGAAATCAAGACCAGATCCTCAAGGGACTGAGCAACCCAGGCACCCCTCTACCTAGATTAAAAAAAAAAAAAAAAAAAAAACTATATACGGAAGTTCAGCCAACCACCCTAAAACTGACATTTTTGGACTAAAAGGATTTCTCCTTGGCAGTCCACTTTACATGTATGATTCTGATGAGTTAATCATTGAAAAATTAAGAAATTAATTTCATGTAATCATGATTATTTTGAAATAGCACATTTACTATTCTTGACATTTTTATATGCTTCAAGGATTCTTACTTATTTTCCCCAAAAAAAATGTCATTGCTCAGGAAACTGTTAAATAGGAGCTATTTTGAGGGGGGAAGTTGGCACTGATCATTTATTGCAGAGACATATTAAAGAATGAGAAAACAAAATGCCTGCTATTTTGGCACTCACCGTTTGGAACATACACAACGTGACAGTATATAAAATTCCCTTAGGGAGCAACAGATCTCGATTGTTACGTCCCTATATTGATTAAATTTATGCAGTTATTTTTATGGCATCAAAATATTGGATATTTAAGAAGTCTCTTAATTTTTCTCCTTTCCATGAAGGAACCTTCTGAAGAAGAAAAAGCAAAAGAGGAGAACGCTGCTCTAAAAATCCAAGCAGTCTTCCGGGCACACTTAGCCAGAGAGGAGGTGAAGAGAATGAAATCGGGTGAAGCTCAAGAGAAAAGAGAAGAAAATAAATGAGAAGACTGGTTTTACTCCCCCGCTCCCCAGAAAAAACATGAAAAAATCATCCAGATCCATCAACCTCGTTGTGATTATTGGTTTTTTTTCTTAGTAAGGGAGATTTGATGTAGTGAAATAACATTTGTTGCTGTTGTGAAAATCTGTCATGAGCATTTGTTTAATAAACATGCCATTGAACACATGCCTCTTAAAGATTTCTCTGAGTTCATGAGTCTTATTTATACTTCTCCCAAGTCTCTGTATAAAGACCCCTGGATTTAAAGTTATAGAACTGACATATCTGAGTTTTCAGGACTCTCAGTGGTTAGGTGGTCTAACCATTACCCAATGAATAAATCCTCTATCACATCCCTGAAAAATGGTCTTTCTGCTCCTGGTTCACTCCTGGTGATAGAGAATTTTACTGCCTTTCAAGCAAAGTCCATTTAATTTTTGAATAACTCAAATTATTGAAAAGATAAGCTGAATCCAAAATCTGCCTCCCTGTAAGTTTCATCCATATGTTTTCATTTGTCATGCAGGCATGCAGTCATTTATTGCAAAATGTATTGAGCCCAAAACATGTGCTGGGATTTAGTAGTGAATATCTGTTCCTACACCCATGCCGCAGACACTTTTTTATTATCTTGCTCTCCAGAACCACACAGAATAAGACGAATACATATTTAAAAAAAAAAAAGCCATCATAGCATCATAAATACTCTCCCATAAATACTAAAACTTCCCCAGTTTTCCCCAATGCATGAATTGTAAAAACCTGTGTCATAAACTCAGTGGCCTTATGGCTTTTTTTTTCCAGTGAATCATTCAAGCCCCCTTTTAGAAATTTCAGTCTCTCCTTTTTGAGACCTTCTCACCCTTGAATATCTAAGAAACTGTGAGGTTCATGTCTTAGACCCAAAGATGCAGTTCCCTTCCCAAAACAAAATAGAGAGGAGGTGGAGTCTCGTTTAACTAACACTGTTACCTTCTACCGCAACGATGCGGCATTGTGGTGACGTTCTGGCTGGTTCGGATTCCTGTCTGCACACACTGGGTGTCCGGAGCTTTGGTTCTAGGACCACACCTCTCTCGGTTCACAGTCACACAGCCATTTTTCCCCAGAGCTCAATAACATGCCTGGCTCTGTCTTGAGGAGTTTCTAAAACCAGCCCCATGTTATGCATAACAAGTGTACACCTGCAAACACTTAGATCCTTGTCTTAAGCTCAGACGTTCTCTTTCTGCAAAGCAGTTTTATTTCAGGTGCCCCATTTTCTCCCATCCCCATCCCTGATACGCCAGAAGTTCACCCAAATGATCTTCTCAACTCAAATCAGATGACTCATGCCAACAATTTCAAGGTTATGGCGTTCATTCTCCAATCTCCACTCACCTCTGAACAGCCATCCCCCCTTCCAAGGTCTGACTGCCACCAGGGAGCCGCATGCTAGCTAAACACAAATCCCTAATACCCACTCACCTCTTCCTCCTAGGCTGCACCCCCCTCTCCCAGGCTTAGAGAGAAAGAAAAAAAAGTAATCAACTCTCCTCCAGCATTCCAGCTGCTCATTCCCCTATTCCATTCAAAGCACCAGCCTCCCATCCATTTGCTCCTCAAACAAAGCCATCCTGCTTGCGGGATTATGAAGAGGTCCCAGAATTAATACAAAGACAGCTTCTCTGACCTGGAGAGAAGACCAGAAGAGAAAAAGGAGATTTCCCCCGCTAGTGAGTATATAGCAAGAAAAAAAGAAAAAAGACACCTGTCAACTTTTTAATAATTCTGTTCTATACATAAAGTGATCAACACTGTGCTTGCCACATATCAGTGTGCAAACATACATAAATCTAGTGGTGGTGACATTTTTGGTGAAGGAAAAAGAAAAAGAGAAGAAAGTAGGGAGGAATGGATGTCATATCATAACAACACATATTAATAACACTTTACTATCACTTAACTGGTTTTCCTCTTATGTCCCTGCCTGATCCTTCTCAGTCTCCTTTGCTGGTAACTTCAACTCCCCACGCATGAAACTCTAAAGTGCCCCCCAGCCATCTACAGACTAACTTCTCTCAGATGTGCGACTGTATACACTGGGTCTTTCTCCAATTCCAGACTTGGATAGTCAATGGCCAGCTTAACATCCCTATAGATACCTGTAGGCAGCTCAAACTTAACGCATCCAGTACCATGTTATTGCTCCTGACAACCTCTCCTGATATTCAAGTCTTCAAGTCCCTCAGTTTTTCCCATCTCAGAAAATGACCATTCCAGTCTCCTGTTTGCTCAAGCCAAAAGCCTAGAATTCATCCTCAGCTCCTCTCTTCCTTTCACACTCCATTTATAATATATCAGCTAAACCTGTGGGTTCTATCTTTAAATATACCCAGAATCTGACCACTTCTACTGTGACCACCCTGGTCCTAGTTCCCATCCTCTCTCTCGTGAATTATTGCAATTACCTCCTTATTGCTCAGTCATTACCACATTAATGCCGCATAACCCATCGCAAAGTCAGAGATTTAAAACAATTACTTTTTTCTTATGAGTCTGTGGATCAGTAGCACATTAGTTGAGATAGGCTGGACTCCAGGCTGGAGATTAGGTTCCGATCTGCTGTAAGCTGAAGGTTTGTGGGTTGCCTGGGGAAGATTTGCTTCAGGCTGTGAGCCCAGGGGTCGACTGTAGTACCTCTCTTTCATGTGTCCTATTCAGAGCCCATACTAAAAGTGCTACCCAAGGTATGCTCTTCTCATGGTAGTCATAGAAGCACAAGCAGGAAAAGCCAACATAGAATATTTCAAGCTTTTGCCCATATCACTTCCCCTGACATCCCACTGACCAAAGAAAATCACGTGACCAAGCCCAAAGTCAAGAGGTGAGAAAATATACTGCTCACCATGCAACCATAGCAAAGACCTCATATATGCACTACAGGGTAGTGAAGAATTATGAAGAACCAATAATTCAACCTACCAGAGTCTGCTCTCTTGGTTATAACTATTTGCATCCTTTTCAAATATATGCAAAATAATTCAGTCCTATCCCAAGACCTCTAAAAGATCCATCAAATCCTTGAAATCCTGGATCTATATTAGGTCCAGATATGGCTGTTCTTGAGCCTATGGATTAAAAGAGCAAGTATCTTCTTCTCGTACACTCAACATGCAACAAATGATGGGCAAGGAAAATGTAACCACAAAAAAAATACTCTCATTCAAAATATAAAACAATGGAGGGAAACAGGAGTCACTGGTCCATAACAATTATGAAATCCCACTGAGTGAAGATTGTCAGATTCCTCTATTTGGGAAAAAGGAATAATGTTCTGCTCTCTAAGAATGACTTCCCAGTCTATTCACCATAACTCTTAGTTCGTCAGTCTAGAAAATTATTCTTTTTCCATCATCTTCCTTAGTCACTTGGAAAGGGCATTGGCAAATATGTCTTTCTTGGTGGGTAAGTGGATTTCTCAACCTAATTCCTGCCTGTAGAAAATTGAGGACCCAAATTTCTGTTCACATCTTGCACATCTCTAGTCTCTTTTAGTTGTTGGTACTGTTTTTGCCAATAGACTTTTCTTAAAAACTTTTTGTGAGTTTTCTGTTTGACTCTAGTCAACTTCATGAGCCAAAAGCTGCTCCCATAATTTCTTTCAGGATATGCCTCCCCCTCTCTCTCTAGATTTAATTATATTAAAAAGAGTGAAGAATTGGAACCAATATTTCAATATACTAAAGCCTCATAACTGTCACAACTAGTCTCCCTACTTCCACCCTTTTCCATTTTCAATACCTTTCCCCCCAGCCAGAAGGTCCTATTATAGTTTAAGTCCTACCTTGTCACTCCTCTGCTTAAAATTTCCAATGACTTCTCATCTCACCCAGAGTAAAATCTAAAGTCTCCATAATGTTCTACAAAGTTCTATGCAGATCTTGCCACCTGTTACCTCTCTAACTCCTTTCCCTTATCAACTTTCCTCCATGTTTCTGAATACCATCTAGTGAATATGTCTGTTTACTGCCCACTTCCTCCTACTAAAATGTATGTTCCATGAGGATAGAGATTTGTTATTTTGTTCATTGCTTAGTGCCTCTATTACATGTGGCAGAAAAGAGTGAAATGTTTCTAGTGGCTCATACAGAAGTGGGAGGAGAAGGGAGAAGAGATATTTATCTTTTTCTATCAAATTAGCTCTGATTGGGTTATAAATCCATCACTGAGGGGAAAAGGATATGCTAATTGGCTCATACCTATCACCATCAGAACCCACTCCTGGGAGTAGAGGTCAGTTCTGCCCAAAAAACCTGGTTGAAATTCAGGGAAGTTTGAAGTCCCTTCTAGGAAATAGAGTAATATTGTCAGGAGGAAGGGAAAGTGGATGCTGGGCAGACAACCAACAGCCACCACAATACTTTAATCACCACATGGCTTCACATTACACTGTGCTGTTTATTAAATTATTTGCCAAAACCGAACACTAGGGAAGTATCAAAAATGAAAGGAAAAACTCAAAACAACAGATGAGGGGCTAACAAACATGGAGGGATCTGAGTAGCCTGCTACAGAAATTGCAGTGGTAATGGTACTCCTTGGACTTATGCAATGAGGACAGGGGAATCCCCCCAAAAATGGGCTTTGGAGTCTAGGAGAACATGAAAAATCATGTAAGAGAGCAAGTTCTTAAACTGTTTAAAATATATGCAAAATTTTGTATTGTGGGAGGCTAAGTGTGAGAGTTTGTGACCCTTAGTTTTTCATAAAACATTCTTAAGAACACTGTACCTATAGAAAAGGAGTTTCTGTCAAGATCATCAGTCAGTCCTTTTTAATAAACATAAGACCAACATAATAATCTGGAGAGACAGGCTCTCTGTTGCATTGTGATATGGAGCTCAGTCAGTGTTTGTGAGTGAAAGATGAGCCCAAGATAAGAACCCTAATTGTTGCTGCCATTCTGTCTCTAACTATGACATCATCCACTTTTGTTGTTGGTCTTAGAGCAAACTCAACAGTGACTTCCCTAATTTCTCAATAAAAGTAACCCAGTAGTTTCTCTATACCTCAAGCTAACTTGAGTTTTCTAATATTTGGACACATTTCAGCAGGTATATTTTCTCCAAACTGGGTTTTATCCTATGAAATTATTCCCATGTTTTTTGTTTTATGGGAGAGAAGGGAGGTTATAAGAACCAAGTACTAATTTCCT